GAGAAAGTGTTTGTCCGTGGCCTATACCCTGGTGCAGGGTGAGAAAGTGTTTGTCCGTGGCCTATACCCTGGTGCAGGGTGAGAAAGTGTTTGTCCGTGGCCTATACCCTGGTGCAGGGTGAGAAAGGCAATGATGATGATGACATGTGGACAGCTGACGGACAACTTCCCATAACACATCAAAAACTTATGGCCATAGTTTTAGTTTTAGTAGAGGTTTTACGGCGCTCGCAACTTCATAAGGTCATGTGAGCGCCAGAAGATTAGAGGTGTTACAAGAGAGTAACAAACATAAAAAAGAAGAAGGGGAAACAAGGACGACAGATCTTTGATAGGAAAGAAGAAGCAAACCACATCAGAGCACCCGTCAACCACCCACAGACTTAGGGCTGACCTCTCCAGCTCCTCATTGGAGTGAGCGAAGGTGCATGTGTTCCCACGCGGGCAGGAGCCTTTGGCGGAGAAGTCTCGGCACATGGACGTCTTGTAGCGCGTGTTCTGCACCGGCGCAGACTCCAGCCGAGACCGGTGGTCCGGGTTGGACAGGAAGTCGACAAACGCGCTGATCACTGTGTCCAGAGAGCGCATGATGGCCTCCGTGTTCTCCCAGGACGGTGCCGGGCACTCTGAGGAAGACACAACACAACACACACAGTGTGCTATAGTTACACACTCTGAGGAACACACAACACAACGCACACAGTGTGCTATAGTTACACACTCTGAGGAACACACAACACGACACACACAGTGTGCTATAGTTACACACTCTGAGGAACACACAACACAACGCACACAGTGTGCTATAGTTACACACTCTGAGGAACACACAACACGACACACACAGTGTGCTATAGTTACACACTCTGAGGAACACACAACACAACACACACAGTGTGCTATAGTTACACACTCTGAGGAACACAAAACACAACACACAGTGTGTCACAGCTACACACAAGCCTTCACAGACACAACACAACACACACAGTTTAGTTTTAGTAGAGGTTTTACGGCGCTCGCAACTGCATAAGGTCATATGAGCGCCAAGGGGTGGAAGTCAACAGAGAAGTCCTTA